ATTGTAAAAGAAGAAGAAAGGGAAATTGTGGCTTGGTTTTCTTTGGATTCCTGGGAATGGATTGTGAAGTGCTGGGATTGGTTATTAATGTGGTGATGGGTTGAGGGAAAGTATGGTTAGGGTGCATGGTTTGATGATGATTTCATTCCAGAGGGGGTCATAACACTTGGACATTATTCCACTGATTTCCTTAAGGACTTGAGGGTGATTTATGGTGCTCTGGGATATATCATCGATCATACCTCAGTAGCGTTTGATGTCAACCTCTTTACCTTTTTCGTCCTTGTCAAGATAGCAAGATGTACTCATAGGTGTGTCAACGGATTTCGATTCGGTAACATCGAATCTTTTACGCAATTCCCTGCAATACTTCATTTGACACACGAATGTACCTTCTTTGCATTGTCTCATTTGTAGCCCAAGGAAGAATTTTAATTCTCCCATCATTGACATTTCAAACTCGCTTTGCATCATATTGGAAAAATCCCTGCACAGAGCTTCGTTAGTGTTATACCCGAGACCCGGGGTCTTAACGAGTAGCTATTTTGAAGAAGGATTTGCGGAGGAAATGGACGATGGAATTGAAGGGTAAAATATGGAGTATGGGAAAGAGTTCTTTTTGGTATTTTGATTTATGAAGATAGAATAGAATGGGGGTTTTGGAGCAGAAAATGGAGAGGAAGGAAATGGGCAGAAATAAGGTGAAGGGATAAACCAAGTTGGTATTAAGAGATATAACACACTCTTATCCTACTTGGGGTTTTGAGTCTAGAATTCAATTAAGATATTACACACTCAATTAAATATCTAGAACCTAACACTCACACTTAAGGAAACCAATCTTAAGATATAGAAATTAGGATTTTTAAAATAACAAACACTATGGTTTATTACTTAGGAAATGAAAGGAATACAATGTCCTCACAAATGAGGCCTATGGCCGAAATTTAAACAAGCAAAAGAGGAAAATTACTTAGCACCTTCCTAATTCAAATCACTAGAATATTATGCATTGATTGTGTCCTTTTTGTGGAATGAATTCAAAGGATATTGATGGAGATTTGAAGGGGTATTTTCGGCCAGTAGTGAGGATTTTAAAACAAGGGAATAAAAGGATGATGTTTGGGTAATTTGAGGGGGATGCTTTCGGCAGTGTTAGGGGGAAAAGAGGGATGTCAAATATGGGAGATGTGAGTGGGTTATTTTCGGCCCACTTGAGGGACCAAATGGGGTGAATGAAATAAGGTCATTTGGTTTATTATAGTTGGAGAAATGTGGTGGTTATAAGGGGTGATATGTATGCTGTTTGGGTAGGGAACAAAGGGGTCCATGTGTGGGAGTTTATTATGGGGGATGATATGGATTGTTTTGGTTCTTTGTGATTCGGCCTGGTCTTAGAAAAGAAAAGGGGGATATTTGTGGGGTATTTGAAGCATTTAATTGTATCTTATTACAATAATGACAAATAACATTTGGATTATTCATCCTATATGGTTGAGTGTAATAAGTTCTAGGTTTTCTAGGAAGTGTTCTACTAGTTTGATTATTTTTCTTAGCATTTTTATTCCCCCTAGCTTTTACAAATGTTGTTTTTCTAGGCGGATTTTTCTTATATCCAAGTCCTTCACCATTACTAGAGTTTTGCCTAAGTATTTTATCTAGTGTGTTTGAGGCTTTATTGAACTTTCCCAATTTGCTCTCTAAAGTAGCAACCTTAGTTTTAAATGAAGTGCAACTAGAGCATGTAGTAGATGAACAAGATGGTGATGTTTCTGGTCTTTTTCCAAGAGAAACAATTTCTTGTTTAAGTGAATCATTTATATTTTTGAGTTCTTTGATATCATTCTCAAAAATTAGGATTTTTTGTTTAACTTCTTTATTTTCTTTTGAGGCCTTCCTAAACATTCCTACAAGTTCTACTATACATACAACATCATTTAAAGTTAAGAGATCATTTGAGAAAGGTTCTTGATCACATACCTCCTTGGATGCTTGGTCTTTCTCAATGGCCATGAGGCAAAGATTGGTCATCTCCTTTACTTCGGAATCTTCACTTCCAGAGCCATTGTTCTCCCAAGAGATGTAGGCACGTTGCTTCTTTGGTGCCTTCTTGTCCTTCTCGTTCTTGAGCTTGGGACACATTGGTTTAATGTGACCAACTTCACCACACCCATAGCACTTGGGTGGAGTGTTCTTCTTTGCTCCCTTCTTGTTCATCATCTTCTTGAATCTCCGGACAAAGAGACCGATGTCGGTGTCATCACTATCATCATCTTCATCGTCAACGTTGTTGGTTGACGTTGTTGCGGGAAGAGCGATGCTTCTCTTGTTCTTCTCTTCAACCACTTTGAAGAATTGAGTGGTTTCATAGGTAATGAGATTACCTCGAAGAGAGTCATATGTTATCGTTTGGAAGCCACGTCCTTCCTCGATTGCGTCCACCTTTGAACGCCACTTGGGGGACAAGCTCCGCAAAACCTTCCTTACGAGTTCTCGGTCGATGTAGACTTTACCGAGAAGGTTAAGTGGATTGATGATGTTCGAGAATCTCTCGAACATCTCTTCTACCTTCTCGTTCTCCTTCATTGAGAACAACTCGTACTCGTGGGTGAGTTGGTCTATCTTGGCCTCCCGAACTTGGATTGTTCCTTCATAGGTGATCTCTAACTTCTCCCACATTTGCTTAGCGGTTTCACACCGCGAGATCTTGCGGTAGTCATCCGCGTTAACACCACAATAAATAATGTTTATTACCTTGGTGTTGAGCTCCATCTTTTTAAAGTCGTTCTCATCGAACTCTTCTTCGGTTTTGGGAAGATAGACTCCATCGACCTCCTTCATCGGAATCCTGCAACCGTTCTTCACAATCAACCACAACTTGTAATCGTTGGATTGGATGAAGATTCTCATCCTCTCCTTCCAATATGAGTAGTTTGTTCCGTCGAACAAGGGTGGCCTTGTGGTTGATTGTCCCTCGGCAACTCCTGCGTTGAACATTTTTTATGTCATTTGATCTTTTAGTTCCTGAATATTAAGAAGTATTCGAAGAACTTCCTGCTCTGATACCAATTGTTAGACAAAAGTGCAACTCTAGAGGGGGGTGAATAGAGTTGTTTTCAAGAATGTGCATTTTTTGCGTGTGTAAAAAAAATTCAAGAATGAATGTAAAGAGTAAGGGAAAGAAGAACACCGAGATTTATACTGGTTTAGCACCTTGTGGCTAGTCCAGTCCTCCAAGAGACTCTCTCAAAGGTCCTACTAGTTTCAAGCTTCAACGGGTGCTTGAAAAACCAGTACAACTTGAGAACTTGAATCACACAAGTCTTAAGAACAACAACTCAAACAAGATGAGTTTAACAACACAAGAAATGAAGCTCACAAATGAGCAAGTAGTGTTTCAAGTGTAAGCTCTATTGGATGACAATCTCTTTGCACTCAAGAAATATATGTATATCTAGCTCTCAAAATAGTATTTGATTATAAAGAGATGAAGCAATAATCAAGAGATATCAATTGGAAGATAGGAGTGCTTGAATTGTACTTAAAATGATGGTGAAAGAGGGATTATATAGAAGAAAAAAGAATATATCCGTTGGGGCAAGAAATATGGCTAAGTATGAGATGTAACGGACAAAAAATCGATTTCTGGAAAAGTGGGAAAATCGATAATATGCTTCTGAGCAAAACGTTTTCTGCGCAAGGAGTGACTAATCGATTAATCTAAGAATCGATTAATCGATTTTTTTTAGAAATCGATTTGGATGGAGGTGAAAAAATCGATTAAAAAATTGGGCGAAAAAGCCTATCTGCGCAATATCAAGAAATCGATTTTTGCAAAAGTAAAAAAATCGATTTTTATTGCGAATTTTGCAGAGACAGCAAGAATCAATAAAGATCGAGATTATCTATTCAAGTGGAATATTTTTGCTTCCCAAAAACATTTTCTAGTATCAAAATGATTGTCTAGAAATTATTTGACACACCTTTTATAACTGACTCAATAAATTTATTTTTGGACTGTTAAAAGATTTTTCAACTGACTCCAAAAGTAAATATAATTTTTAATGAGTATCCCTCATGAGAATAAAAGGTTTAAGTAAAAATATTTGTCATCCTTACAAATTTTTCTAGACTTAAAGAAATAAAAAGTCTTCAGAAAATTTCTCTTCACTTCAAGATCTTGTGTAGGGATAATGAAACGTAGTCGTTGTGAATTTCTTGATGTGCCTCTTTTGCTTTCTTGAACCGAAAAATAAATTTTCGTTCTTCGTTGCATTTGTCATTTATCAAAACCTGAAAAATTAATTTCAAGACAAAAAAAAAATCTAAAGGGGTTTGAACTCATGTCCAACAATTTGGAGAAGGAAGCGCTACATGGGGAAGATCCATGGGGCTGTGATCTAGGAATTTGATGACGAAGTACCTCTTGGCCCATTTCTCAATTTTTTCCTCCACTTTTGTGAAGATAGGCCATAGTTTGTTCGTGTACACATTGAAGTAAGGAAATGGACCGCCAATACTGAACAAGAGTAGGAAATCTTTGATGGAAGGAGTCCTCTATTGGCCATGGCAGAAAAATGTACGAAGCCAGGTTCTTGTGGGTGTTTGAAGTAAAATTTATAGGCAGAACTTGCCAAGTAGTGAAGATCTCTAGGATGAAGGGATGGAGTGGCAATCTGAAGCCGACTAGGACATAGTCATAGTGCATCACAAGGAAGCGATGCAGTTCGAGATGACGCTCACGCCACCCACAGTATCTGGGTGGTGAAACTTGAACGGATCGCTGAGAAGATCAGGCATGAGAGCAAGCTTTGGTTCCTTGATAGTGGAAGAATCGAGCCGCCATCGTTCAGGATCGGTGGGTTTGGAAGACATGCTCAGAGATTCGAAAGAAGCCGAGAATCGCAAACGAAGACCTCTAGAGATTGAGTAGAATTTGGGAATGCTAGAGAAGAAAGTGAGATTTGCCTGAAGGACTTTTGTTTATAGACGTTATGATGTGGAGCCCAAGGCGAGAGGATTGGAGCCATTTCCAATTTGGCACAGGGTTTGAAGGATGCTCATCAATATTAGTTTCTGAGTGACACGTCACTAAGAAACTAGGGGGCTTGTGATAGATATCGGGTCAGTCGCTGGGCCGGGGAGGCCTGAAGAGCTCCACTACCACGGCCCAAGAAGAATAAGGGGGCTCGACGCCTATGTGTAAACTGTGGTGGGCTGAATAATATGATTAAGGGACAAGAGCCCAGCCCCACTAATCAGTTCGCACAATACGGGGAAGGGCAATCCCACCGATCATGGGTAATTGACAACTGATTCTTCGTGCATGATTAACGCATGATTAGCCAATTAGCCCGATATTAAAGCGCACAAATTACATAACAAATATACATCAATGCTAGATTATAAATAGGAGGCGTTTTCCTCCATTCTAACCCAATCTGAATCAAGCTAATACAAGGATACAAGAGTTATATTTCATTCTATATTGTTCTTATTTGCGTGCAACTTTTTCATGCCACCATAGTTGTTGGGCTAAATCCCATCAATGTAGTACCCTACTTATGAATAGATTTTGGCTACAATTAAATCTATCGGTGAAAATTACACCAAGATCTCTTTTTCCATGGGAGAAATGATATGCCCGAATCCTATCCCCCATCTTTGTACATCACTCAAGCGACTACGTACGTACCTCTCCCCTCTCCACAAATGGAAACACCTCAAATGATAAGTTATTGTCAACCTCATAGTTACACCTAGTGCTTAACACTAACACTCATGGCTTCTATGCCAAGGTTTTGCGTCAAAGAGGCTTTTTTTCATTTGATAGTCCCTGTAAGATAGTATGACATCAACATGAAATTTTACCTCAAGGTTGTATATGTAACAGGGTTATGTAAAGAATGTGACTCCAAAAGGATGCTTCATAATGCTCTCACGCAAGGTTGATGCAAGAGTTCTAGTCTCAAATTTGTCTGATGGGTTCATTGAAAACCCTGAAAAAGAATTCCCTGTGGGAAAGCTTGTCACTGGAAAGTAAGTTTGCCCATTTAGATTTATGTGTCTGTGCTTGAGTGCTTCTGATGGCAATGGACTAAGTTTTCTATGTACTGCAGGGTGGTATCAGTTGAACCATTATCTGGGCGAGTTGAAGTTACTCTGAAAACATCAAGATCAGTTGCATCCCAAAAGTTCGACATTGATGCTTTCAGGAACATCACTGTTGGAACCATTATTTCGGGGAGAATTAAGCGTGTTGAACCTTATGGGCTGTTTATTTCAATTGATCACTCAAATCTGGTATAATAACAAAAAGGCTCTTGTGTATTGCAAATAAGAAGCAAAAGACTTTGTATTTTTTATTATACCCCTTTCTAAATAGACTTTATCTTTCGTTCTTTTAATCTTGCAAACCTATTGTTTCCATAAATAATACATTTTTGTTGCGATAGAGTGGGTGCCCTCCCACCCCACCCCAACACACCAACCCTTCTACAGTGTGCTTACAATTGCCATCTTCCTTTGCCTAGGTTGGCTTGTGCCATGTACTATAAAAATTCCTCCTTCATTAGAGAGGGGATCTAATTTCTATTGTACAACAAATTTCTATAAGCTTTAACTCGATCTTCCAATCTTATATTCTTAATTCTATTATTATATTAACAACGTACTATCTATAATTACATCATACCCCCTCCGTCCCAATTTAAATTGCCTAATTTCCTTTTTCGTCCATCCTAAATTAATTTTTTTATTTCCTTTTTGGTAAGGATTTATTTGTACACTACAAAAAATACCCTTCACTCTAGTAACTCAAACCACCCACCCCACTTCTCATTTACTCCTGTCATTTATGTAGATCTTATCTGCGTTCTTCTTTGCCAGTTGTTTCCTCTTCTCTGGACATTTCTTTGTTCTCCAATCCTCTTTTCTCCTCTTTCATCTTTCTTCTCTTCTCTCATTTCATCGTTCTCCTCTTTTCTCCTTTCATCTATTCTATATTGTTTTGGGATCTTTTCTTTCTTGAATTTGGATCTAGGGTTTTTTCTTCTTTATCCAAATCTACGAAATTCAGATCTAGGCTACCTATGAGCCCTTTTGACATCTAAGGTTAGTGTTTTCTTAAATTTTCTTATATTTATCATATTTAAGCAATTGAATAAATGTTTTCATTGGTTTGTTTTTTACAGATCGTAGTAATGGATGAAGTAGACGATGAAATAAGTTTCTCATCTATCACTAGTACTCCAAATTCTTACAAATTAGAGCATGAATACATTTTTTATGAGATCCGTATTGAAAAATAGATGGTAATGTTGAGGGAAAAGCTTGCTGCTTATTGAAGTACCCCCCCTGCTCGCAAAGAAGATGAACGTAAAGAGGATGAGTGTAAGGAGAATGAAGAGGATGATGACACCCAGTTTGAGTCCTACGAATACGAAGAAGGGCATGACGTTTTGTGGGATTTGTTTATATCAGATCCAAAGGGGCGCTACAATGACTTCTAGGGGAGTACTTTTCTCTCTTCATGTGGGTGAAATATTTAAATTAAGTGTCTTAGTATGTGCATTGATCTATTTCTGATTGGGAAATTAATGATGAAAACTTGCAGTGAAGAATGACATGTGACTATATGCTGTATGTTGTTTGTAATATGCTTATAGTGAATTTTCCATTGCTTGTGTGTTTGTTCTTTTTGGAACTTGAAGCCACCCACCTAAGATCAATGCATGAGGTAACATTTGTGTGGCCTCCCACTGCATCCATTGTGTTTGGTGGTTTTATGTGATGAACATCCATTTTAACACTAAGGGTTAAGATGTTAAATGTTTATACATAACAGCCTTTACATACTACTTACAAAAAAAAGTGTTTGCATACATAAGTGCCCATGCACACTACTTACAAAATAGTATTTGTATACATAAGTGCACATACACACTAGTGACAAAAACAAAATAGTGTATATGATGAACACATTTAGAAAAAAACAAGATATTTCAAGAATGAGAAGACTTATATTATTTCTAATGCATTGTCGCCTCATACATTTCTGTGCTTACCTTCATTTGGTTTGGTAGTGCACCTTCCCTCTCAAGTCTTCCATTTCCTATGTGTGCCAACTTGTAATTGTTTCCTCTTTGTACCTTCACGATCTCTGTCATTGCCAGCTGGTAATTGATCCATACATTGTTCAGTTTCTTTGCATCTAAATTGGCATATGCTTCAGCCGCATGTTGTACCAACTCTCCACTCTAACACCCTGGCTCTAAGTGTCTTGCTCATAGGATTGTAGACTGGCCCCACAAACAAACAAAAGTCTTTCTCGCACACTTTATCCTCACTCGTGCACACCCAAGGAATTTCCCAGGGGGTCACCCATCCTAAAACTGCTCCACGTCAAGCACGCTTAACTTTGGAGTTTCTAGGTGATGAGCTCTCGAAAAGAAGATGCACCTTGTTGGTATTATCCTAATGTATGACTATGTGTTTAGTGAGTGCATCCAGTACGTTCTCCTTGATTACTAGCAGAACTTTCTAAATCAGGAATCTTGGTATACCTCTTTTGTGATTTTAGGTGTGGGTTTGGTCTTTAAGGTTCCTACTGGCCTATTTTTACTACTCCTCTGTGCAGGAACCTGAATTTTTAAAAGCCAAAGACATGCCTCCCTACTGCACACAAGTGCATTAGTTTGGGTATGTGAGCCTTACTTTTAGCTTTACTATGTGGCTCCCTCTCCCTTTCAGTTTTATACACTCTCAGTGATTATTTGGACATTTCAAATCATTTTTCATCCACATCAATAGTACAAGAAAAAATCTTGAAAGGTCGGTCAGTGAGTGGGGAAGGGATTCTAAAAGAAATTGTCTTAACACAAAAGCTAACATGTTAAACTTGTTTTCTTCTGTTAAGAAAGGCTTGATAGCATTTGTGTGACTTCATAGTTTCCCTTTTTGTATGCATCTATATAGTGTGGATTTGGGTACTTGTATAGCTACAGACTTAGATCTTATGTTTGTTCTGTTAGAATAAGTGACCAACGATAGAGGGGGTGAATAGCGTTAGATTGTAGAAATCGCATGAATAAAAAATTAAGAACGTGAAAAGTAAAGAGCGTAGAAAGCGTAAAGGGAGCACACCAAGATTTATACTGGTTCACCACAACGTGTGGCTAGTCCAGTCTCCCGAGAGACTCTCTCGAGCTACACTACTTCCGTTAAGCTTACGGGTGCTTAACAAATCGTTACAACCTGAGAACTCGAGTCCCACGAGCCTCAACAACACTTTCTCGGAGATACCGCACTCCAAGACTTCAACCCGAAGGAAAATACCTTTCCTTCGTATAACTAAGGGAAACAAGCTTCCCTTAACGTGTATACAACACTAAAACACTCAAGAACAAATACTCTCTTTTAGAGTGGATATTGAGTAAAATATATATGCTCGAGAACAACTCAAACTTCACACAATTTGGCTCTAAAAAGCTATGGAAAAAGATGTTATATGAATGCAATGATAATGTGTGTAAATTGAAGTGAATTGATATGTAATGCAGACCCAAACACCCATTTTTATAGTGCCAAAGTAGGCTCCAACGGATCAAAACATTTAAGGGGTGATTAGCATGATTTGTGGGATTGATATAAAAATGTGGATTTGTAGGAAATCAGCCTACCCAGCGATGTATGGAACTACCCATCGCTGGTAAGCCATTTTTCCTTCAGTTTTAAAGACAACGGCCACCTACCCATCGATGGGTAAGAACTTCCCATCGCTGGGTGGGAGGTTGACTTTCAAACAATGAAAGAATCAGGCTTAAATGCCTTACAACGGTCATGCCTACCCATGGATGGGTATACCCTCCCATCGCTGGGTGAGGGCATTCTGCCTTGTGTTAATGTTGAACCAAGGCTTGTACAGCGATGGGTGGAACTCCCCATCGCTGTGTGGCATGGTTCTGGAATCCAGCTGAGCTAAGGACCACTTACCCATCGATGGGTAATATCTCCAATCGCTGGGTTGATGGCTAGTCCAAAAACCTATGGTTTTTTCCTTAACCATGGCCTAGCCGACCGATGCTGAAACCCGACCGATACTAAAACCCGACCGACAAAATGTGAAGTTCTCCAAAATAAAAACCAAGTATTTAAAACACTTATTTCATGTATTTGGATAAGTAATCAAGTGAGACATCTTAAAAATCATGTCATTTAAGTAAAAACCACGGCTAGCCAAGTTTATGCCGTTTCGCATGGTTTTTACCAAACGACCAAAAACGAAAGGTGGTTTTTAAAGTGTTTTTGTTGGAGAACTATTTAAATTTGCCCTGAAGTAATAACAAATCATAAACTGTTGAAAACCACTTGGTTGGTTCGGACGCCAAAAACCAACACCGGTAACCGAATGCCGAACACCAATTTCTGAAAATCGAATGCCAGTTTCTGAAAGCCGAACGCCGGATGGCTTGGTTTTTGGCTTGGGCGAACACCAAGTCTTTTTAATATGTTTAAAAATGTTTGAAAATCATTTTGATGATATGTGAAATGAAATAAAAGATATTTTAGCCTAAAGAGCCAAAGTGCAAAGCTTGGGTCGGTCTTGATCACATTTGTGACCGACTCAACGACACTAAAAGCTACGGTCTTCGTTCTTGGTCTCTTTTAGCTCTTGTTCTCTTGCTTTCTTCTCATCTTCATTTCTCGCCTTGTATATTCAACAACTTGTCTCGTTACGGCGGTTTGGCATTATCAAAATCTGTCATAAAAACGAACATGGCTTTAGTACGATGAAGTGATAAACCCGTGTTTCAACATGTTCTTCTGTGAAATGAAATTACTTGCCTCCTATAGAACAGTGATCCATCCACATGTTGGTTACGACAAGTACGCCAAAGTGAACATACTGTTCTATGACATATGTCGAAGTCCTTCATGATTTCTTTAATCGTGCCCCGATGAAGTTTCCCATTAGTTGTCTTGTGAAAAAGACAATCTAGGATTACTCTTTTTTCCACATTAGTTAGATTTCTCTTGTTTTTTAATGGGGGCAGTAACTTATTCTTCTACTACTACTTGTTTTTCATCATCATCATCATCATCATCTTCTTCTTCTTCTTCTATGACAGCCTGGAGCAGCTTGGGTGACATGTTGGAGTGGATGAGGGATGAAGGGAACTATGGTAGTCTCTGTGTTGATGAAGTCCATGGAAGATATGCCTTTGGAGATTGTTTTAAGGCTTTGAAGAAACTAAGTATGTCTGTTTTGTGTTTGATTATATAGATTTAGATTGGATTTTTTTGGTGTAATCGAGGAAAATTTTCCCTCCAAGACAATGATTTGATGTATTAATGGATTTGGTAGTGGATTTGATAAGTGTAATCATTCCTATGGTGGTGTTTGAATGTGTGTTATGCCTCTGTTTTTGGGTGTTGTGGGGTCTCTTTTCATGTTCTTAGCTTCAAAGCACAAAAAATGGAGGGGCAATTTTGGATGGTCAACATCATTTTTTTTCCTACCTTAAATATGCTCCTAAGTCAAACTAGGCAATTTAAAACAAGATAGAGAGAGTAAATAAATCAAATTGAAAATAATATTAGTGAAACATTATATGGGAAGATAAATTTGGGACAATGGAATAATAAGCCATCACAAGAAATTAAAAAAAAACAAATGAGTGGAAGTTAGGGTTTTGTAAAACTAGCTAACAACCTATCTTACTAAATATCTTTTTCTTCAAAAACATATTACCTAAAGAATTGGCATAAAGAACTGCCCAAAGAAGTGAGAGATCATCTAACAGCTAAATGCCTTCATCTTTGCAAACACAAGTTTTAAGAACCTAAGTCACACACTCACATCACCCCTTCGGATGCTCTTCACTTTTCACTCATTTTATATACATTAGATTTCCTGATTGAGTTGTGTTATTGTGATCCTAAGGTCCAAATTTCACATGTAAATATTTTCACATATTTTTATGCGCTCACAATTTGTTTTTTACAAGGCTCAAAACAAAATATCATTTTATGTATTAAGATCCATAAAATGAACATAAATCTAAACCACTAAAGAATTTACCATCCTGATGTAATTAAGAAACTCCTTTGTTTATCAACTTCCTGCATAGTTTATACACAAAAGAAGTCATTTCATGTTAATTGACTATTTCTGGATTGATTTAATACACATTTCTTGTTCTATGGTGGCAGTATATTTTGGATAAACTAAAGTAGGAGAAAATGTATGCATCACACCTCTAAAACTATTGCTCAACAAAACAAAATAACCACACAAACTCATCAAAAGTTAGGGCGTGAGCACAACAAATGTGTACAACAATCACCAAACTTATGTGATTGGAAAGGTGGCCACAATGACACACTCATCAAACCTGTGGTTTTCAATCACATTGGCCAAACTCACAAATATATTGGCCTCAGGGCACTTCTGCCACTACTTCATTGCTTCACCTCTCTTACAGCAATTGCTTTTCTTTCTTTTTTTCTTTTTGCCTTCTACGGAGTATTTTTTCCTTTTTGAAAATGTTTACGAATATACAGCTTTCTTTTTGCACGACCTATAAATGCTAAACCATATGAGGCCTCATAATTCTACTTTAAAAAGATGAAACGAGGCTGGACCTAAAAGTCACGCGGATGAACCAGATTTCAGTTTATTGCGAGGGTTACAATTCCATGGACATTAACAACCTAAGATCATTTGATACTTGTGACGAAGCAGCCTCAACAACCTCAAAGCCGACTTTCCTGTACAGATCCAGTGCACATTTGTTTCCTTCATCTACATGAACAAATAGCTGATTCATACCTGTTTATCACATTTCGGAAAGAAAGAGTGAACAAAGAGGGGAAAAAGAATGGCAAACGTTAACAGCTAAAACCGAGATTAGAGCACCTTCTGACGTAGCAACTTCAGTAGCCAAGTACAACATGTTTGAAGCAATACCCTGACGGCGAGCAAACTTTGCGACACAAACGTTTGCAATATAAGCATATCTGTGGGTGTCAAAGGGTGCAAAGATGCCTGATTGCCGTTTCACTTCCTGGTAGCAATGAGAAAATAAACCATCTCAAAACCCCAAATTGCCAAGTTACACAGATAAGCATTCTATCCAGGGTCCACACATAAATGCAAATTTCAAAGATACTACCCCGGGATAGGTCTCCCCTT